GGGCTGGATTTGTATTGGGCTGCCTAGTGCACTGTAGGACACTTCGTAGCATCCTGACTCCATCTCCTATATACTCTTAGGATCCCCCAGCCTGACATCAAAAGCCTCCAGACATTGGCAAAAGTCCACCGAGGAGCCAAATCCTTCAGGTAAGAACCGCTGAACTGAACTTGAGCAGCGGGCTCCGGGTGCAGGCACCGCGAGGGGCTGATGGGAAAGACTGAGGGCAGCAGAGTTTTCCTTCCTTGAATCAGAATATATCTTAAACTGTTTCCTTTGTTTAATCCCCCCTGAGGCTCGACCACAGGAATGTTCCGGAAGGGTGTTGTATAATGCGTAATGCTTACTTCAGAGCTCCGGAGTCTGATGGGAGTCCTGGCTCCGACACCTGCCAGCTCTGTGACCTTGGGCAAGTTATGCAGCCCTTCCGTTCCTCCATGCTCATCCACAAACAGGGTAACAAAATGCCTGCCTCCTGGGCTGTGGCAGCATCACATGGAATAACATGTGTGAGCGCTTAGCACCGTGCCGGGGACAGACAAGCCGCTGCAGGACGGATTCCCCAGGAGACGGAGATCTGTGTGCAGGACATTCATGGGGGATGCGGTCAGGATGCACACCGTGGGGGAAGGGAAGCCCCCTTCCTGGGGGTGGGGCAGAGGGAGACCCGCGGGGCTGCCTGCACTGGCAGCCCTGGGGCTATGGCGACCCTTCAGAGCTGTGCTGAGGGCGGAAGGACCTGTCTGAGAATACGCTGCCCCAGGGAGTGGGCGTGGTCTCGGGTGGGGAGGCTCTCAGGTGGAAAGGACAGTTCCCTCCCGCTGGCTGCTGGGGGGGCGAGAGCTTCAGTCCTGGAGAGGGAGGGGGTCATGGCCGCGCACAGCATCCGAGCAGGATGCTCGTTGGCCGGCACTGCGAGGCCAGGGTTAAGTAGCAGTGACACCGCTTTAGAAACACTGTAGACACCCAGGAATGCTCCCGGCCTCCCCGTGCTCCCGGCTCCTGGCCCCGTCCCTGTCCCAGCACCTGCACAGGCCACGCCCGCTCTCTCCTTACCGCCCTCCCTGGAACAAGGACGGGCAGGCAGAGCGAGAGGCGCTGCCACACCCACCCCCGCCAGACACGCTGCCCCGGAGGCAGAGGGCAGGGCAGCCGCGCAGTCGGGCTCCTCGCCCAGCTCTAGCTGAGGCCTCGGCCAGATCACTAGGTCCATCCCACTTTCGTTTCTTCCCAGGTAAGCTGGGAGCGGGTGGGGCAGGGTGGGGCCAAATGGGATGCTGCGCGCAGCACTTCTCAAAGTGTGGCCCCTGGGCCATCAGGACTGGCAGCCCCGCCTGGGGACTGGTTAGAAACCTGGGTTCTTGGGCCCCGCCCCAAACCCACTGACTCCGGAGCTCGGGCCAAGTCCCAGGCATCGTGTTTGACAGGCCCTCCAGAGCTCAATGTTGAGAATCACCGGTGTACCGGAGAGCATTTGGCTCGGTGTCTGGACCGCAGGAGGAGCACCGTCAACCTCAGCTGAATGGGACCCTGAACCCGAAGTCCACCTGCTGAGCTGGACGTCAGGCACCTGCGAGCAGAGCGCCACCTGCTGGTCATAGCCCCACCGCGCAGGCACGCGCAAGGCGCAGGCAGGGACGCAGGGACCCAGGACAAGTTACACAGCAGACCTGACCCTTGCCCTCAAGGAACTTAAATAGTGCTCAACAATATTTGAATAAATACTAACATGTATTCATTCAACAAAAATGCGTTCAGTACCTCCTGGTGCTAGGGGCAGCGCTAGATCCTGGGGATACTGCGATGACTAAGACAGGCAGTCCCTGTGCTGTGGAACTTACAAGCTGGGGGAGGGAGAAGGGGAGCAAGTACCCCAAGGGGAAAGGACCTGGGGGGTGTGGGAGCCTTTGACAGGAGCTGATGTGGCCGAGGCGGGGAGGAAGGTCTGAACCTGAAGACTGGGGGGGAGGAGGGGGGGCGGAGGGGAAGTGGTGCAGAGGTGTGGGGGAGGGAGGATCTCTGAGCAGGGCAGGGCGGCGGGGGTGGGGGGGTTAGGGTGGCCTTCCTGCCGGATCTTTGATCTAAGCTGGGCCTTGAGGAGGCAGAAGTGTTTTGCGGGGTGAGTCTTTGGGGGTAGTGGGGCCTCACAATTGTGTGAGAAGGAGCCAGGGGAAGGGCAATGCCTTGGAGAGGCTGGGTTTGAGTGTCTGGCCAGGCAGCACAGGGAAATGTCCAGGGGGCACTCCCAAGGCAGGGCTGTGCAGCTGGGGTGCAGGCGCGGAGCGGGTGGGACTCAGTCTTCAGAAGAAGAAACTATAGAGAAGGAAGACGGAGACGGGAGACCGAGGACAGGTGCCCAGACCCCCGGGTGGAGAGGGGAGCGGCCTGGAAGGCAGAGGGGGTCAGAGAACAATTCTCCAGGAGCCGCGGGAGGCATGGCCAGAGGCGGGGGCAGGGGCCCTGAGGAGCCTGTACATGTGGGAGCTTTCGGAACGCAGGGCCTTGTGTCCACCCCTTCCTCAGAACGGCACCTTCTCTCCCTTCCTGGCCCGAGGCCCAGCAGCGGGTCTGCAGCAGCCGGCCTTCCCTGGGGCTCCGGAGGGAGGAGGCCAGGCTCTCAGCCTGGTGTCAGTGGCCACCCATCCCGGGCGGCTGCCTAATGATGGGACGCCAGATCGGCCAGATTCACCTTTGAGCTGCAGAGATGAAAGCAGCCACAGGCGGATGGGGGCGGGGTGGGCAGGCAGGGGCAGGCCTGCTGGAGGCTGCAGGCCTCCTTCCCACAGGAGCTGGAGGCTCACCGGGAGTGAGAGGAAGCCTCTGCTTAAATAAGTGAGGCCCGGGAAAGCTGTGCTGCTGTCCTGAGGACAGGGCCCTTCACGCATTGCTGACTGCAGGCCCCGGCTTCCCCCACAGCCTGCCCGCACTCACCCCCAGCTCTGCTTTGGGCTGGGCTGGGCCACTCCCAGGGAGCAGTGAGGAGGCCCCAGAAACCAAGGTGTGGCCAACCTGATCCAGGTGGCACATCCTGCACCTACCACCCTCATTAACCTTTTCTATTGGCTTTCCCCTCCTCCGAGCTGCATCCTCCCCCACCCCCACTCTGATAGGAAGATACGAAATGTGCGGGGAGGGCTGGTGGGGAGAGGGGTGAATGGCAGAGAAAGGACACAGCCGCAAGGGAGGCGGCTGTGGCGAAGGATGCAGTGGAGTCAGGCGGGCTCCTCTGCACAGTTCACTTCTCGCCTCGGAGCCTTAATTTTCTCACCAGCAACATGGAATGAGGGGCATCACAGGCCCAGCACGTTTTAGAGGATGGTCATGAACAAACGAGAGAATGAGTGACCTTTCCAAGCTGTCCAGGTATGTATTGGGGGCTACCACAACCACCGTTGCATCAGTTTCAACATGAGGCCCCCGAGCCCAGTGTTGGGAGGATCTGTGGAGTGCCTGAATTATGTGTAGAATGCCTGTGAGGGCATCTTTCTGGGCGGGAGCCATAGCTCTTAGAGAGGTCTGGACCCGCACACAGGGTCTTTTGAGGTGAGTTAGCTGAGACCCAAGCTCCTACGGCTTGTCAGAGGCAGAGCCAGACCTGGTCCCCTGGTCCCCATCCTCCACTTCTCCCTGCTGCCCCTCCAGGTCAGGTGAGGGGAAGGGAGAGTTTGAGCTCAGGGAGGGGAGAGCAGCCAGAGGGGGAGCCCCAAGTCCTCACGCTGTTACCAGGATAAGGACATCACAGCGGAGGGGGGGAGGGGGACGGTGGGACGGGAGAACGAGGAAGCCCTAGGATTTGGGGGGTCTTGGGGGGGCCAGGCCTAGGAAATGCTTCCTGGGAGCTGAGTCAATGAGGCATCCTCCCAGTTTCCCTTTCCCAACAAACCCCCCTTCCCAGAAAGGGCTCCGAGGAGACACAGCCCTGGCCCGACGCCATCTCGAGGGGATTCTCTGGTTCCCGTTGCCACTTTGGGAAAAGCTGAAGATGCCACGTCGAAGCTTCATGGGAAACGGAAAGGCCACACACAGACGTGAAGTCGTCATCACCCAAAGATGCACTTTATTGAGCAACTACCAAGAGCCAGGCATGTGCTGGATGCTTTGCCGACATCGGCATAAATGTCACCCCTTCAGGAGGCCTCCCTGACTGCCTGGTTAGACTAAATCCACTGCTCTCCCTCACCTTCCGGTTATCCTCACGTTCCCTGTTCCTTCCTGTGTGCTCCTTTCATCCCCTCTCCCCTCCACTCCGCTACAATCTTGCCATGGGCAGGAGTCACGTCAGCGTACTGACTGCTGTACCTCCATGCTCAGCACAGGGCCAGCCCCTAGTGGTCACTCCAATACTTGTTAAATGAACTCAGGACTGTCTCCGGTCTTCACAACAACCTTATGAGGTAGCTATCAGGGTCATGCCTGGTGCACAGAAGGAACCACGGTTGAGGGAGCCAGAGACTTGCTGAAGGACAGCTGGTTATCGCCAGGCTTCAGCTCTGCTCCTCCCCCTGATGGATTTGGAGAACAAGAGAACCGAAGGGTCAGAGAGAACGTTTGGGTCCAGCGGAATGGCTCACCCGTCAGTGCAGCCACCACCCTGTGCTCAGCCTTCCCTCCGAGCTCTCCCAACCTCTCCTCGCGCCCTGTGAGCTCCGAGTCACCAACCTGCAGCCACAGAGCTGGAGGCCAGGCCCCACTGGCCTGTGCATTTCTCAAGCCACGTGAGAACCTGTCCTTCCCACCCACCCGGAGCAAGCTACAGCTGGGAGCCCACGCCCCACCCCTCAGCCCTAACACAGCAGATAAATTAGGGGGCTCTTATAAAACATGTACAGGGAAGACACATACATACAGAGCCAGTGAGTGCCGGGCGGCGTTCGCTTCTTGAACACAAGGTCCTGCCCACGAGGGTGCCTGCCCTCTCCTGGTCTCTCTCTCCCTGGAGTGGCTCACCTGCTGTCCCCATAAGCTGGCACCTCGGCAGGTCACCACAAATCACAGAGGTCCACCATCCTTCCCCAAAGGGAACCCCTTCCTTGCTGCCCACGCCAGGCTTGCACCTCTGCGGTGGGCCCCTCCCTGCTGTCCCTCCTCACCAGGCAGCCTGCCTCGGCCTGGTCCCAGGAATCCGGCCCACCAAGCCCTGAAGGCAGGGAGGGCAGACCGAGGAACGCTGCTTCCTGACATGTTTGGCGACCACGTATCATCCACACCAGGACTTTAATGAGAGCGGAAGGGGGTCTGATTCACTGGAAACCAGGCACACGCCAGGACTGCTCAGGTGAAGGATGCACGGCCACCCTACCGAGGGTCCCTGCTCTGGACCGGCCCAGTCCCACCGCTCTGGACTTTCTGAAAGATGCCTGTTGGCAAAGATCTCTCAGATCACATCTCCCCTCTCTGCCACCTCCCACTCTCCAACACCTCACAGAATTGTGGTGACACATTTCAAGGCCTCACTAATATCGGGGACCTAGCACGGGGGTTGGGAGGAGGAGCTGGGAACGATGCCCCCTCCAAACCCCTGGTGGGACTCGGCTATGTAAGGCTTTTGGTGTTGAGCCCTCGGCCTTCTGGTTCCTGGAGCCCAATCTCCAGATCACGGGGCCCAGGTCCAAGGAGAAAAGTCAGCCTTCATTCTCTGTCTCCCAACCCGGACTTGCCAAGGCTTCTTCCTTTAGGGCTCCCTAGAGCTGCAGGCCAGGGCCAGAGAGAAATGAACCATCAATTCCCCGCGACCCCTCCCTCGGCCAATCAGTGCAAAGCACTGCCTGGCACCTTCTCCACATGCTGTGTGGGCACATTCCCAGTCCCACCTCCTATGCTAGGAGCCCCAGGAATCAGCTCTGGGGGTGGCAACTGATGGAGGCTGGAGAGAGCAACCTATGGTGCCCTCACCCCCACCCGCCAAGCCCTTCATGAGGGCCTGACAGCAATCACAGCCACCCCAAGACCAGTTCCCCTTCAGGTTTAATGCCCCGCCCCTTGTTTTTAGAACCTGCTCAGTAGGCCGTGCTTGCAAAACTGCTCTAAATGAGCCTTACTCAGGCAGATAGTACCAGATAGCAGAAAGCCAGGCTCCAGGCCCTCCTCTCCTCCCTCCTTCCCCTCCCCCCCATCCGCAGGCCGTCCACAGCTCCCTGGGAAACAGAGGCCCACTCGGATCTTCCTCTGGCCACTGCTTCTTGCTGGCTGTCCATCTCTCTGTCTTGTCCATCTCTCTGTCTTTCGGGAACAAAGACTCCTCTGTGTCTGAGTCCGGCTGCACCCCTCCCACCCCCACGAAAACCAGTGCCCAGATCGACCCCTCGGAGGAGAGCTGCCAGGCCCCCCCGGGGCTCAGGACAGGGCATTCCGATGGGCCCCTGGATGGGCCCCTGGGTAGGCGTAGGAGATGGGATGGCGGGTCCCAGGCCTCACGGTGAACGTGTTGATGGGGCTTCCATAGTGGGGGGTGCTGCGGGGAGACCTGGTGGGGAGCAGAAGAGAAATGAGGTGAGTCTTTGCAGCTGGTTAGCCAACAGCCCCCCTTTGTCCCCAGGGCTTAGAGGAGAAGATGCCGCTCAGCCCTATGGTTTCTGCGCCACGAGCCCTGGGCTTCATCAACCCAGGCCTCCCCCTCCAGTCCAGGCCCTGGTGGCCACCGAGCTACCTAATCCCTTCCGCTCAGAACCCGTGGCGCCCAGCCCGGCTCTGGATCTTCTGTGTGGTGGGGATATCGGCCCCCAAGGACCACTCAGATCTCCCTCCAGCCCACACTCAGCCTGGAGCCCTGGGACTCGGGGCAGGGGGGCCGGGGAGGGAGGAAGGGGGAAGAGGGAGAGAGAAGTGGGGGAAGCAGGAGATCAAGGGAGATG